GAATCAGCATCAATATCGTTCAAACCATCTTCGAGTTATCTTTATCTGTCGAACAATTATCAATCTCAATATCAATATTTTCAATTATCAGTAACAACAATAATATAGTTAACCATCTCGATTAAGTTAAGTCAGTTTGTATAAAGTGTAAATACGTTATTAAATGTATATACCATAAAAAGACTATCATTCCATCTCAAAATATACATCAAGCAAAACTACCCTAATCGTAGTAAAATATTGTTAGGGAATAAAACATCCGATTTTAAAATCCATGTAACTCGCGTTTTCTTAAATAGAAAATGTGACAGTGTAATTTTTAGTAGAAATTCCCAAAAGGATTCAAATTGAAACTGAGCCGAAGAGAGAACAGTTAGTTTAGCTTATTATTTTTTACTGTTACTGATGGTATAAAGGCAAGAAACGAAATAAATAAAATAGAGGGTCGACAACATTCGGAGCTCATTTAGATAGAAAATTTCGGTTAAAATAAGTAGATTAGGTGCCGACGTTCCGACATTAAAGGTCGAAATCGGTTGAAGGGTGTGGTAAAATTATTTTCGCAAATCTGAGTAAATATGAGAAACAATCTCTCATGCGTACTAATTGCGCTGATCCTTATAAATACGAAACAGGCCCAATGAGGTTTCCACTTCAGTTAATCTCCTTCTCGCCCGCGGTTCTAATTTTACATTCCGAGACGAATTAAATCGGATTCAATCCAGTCTGATGTACTCATGTCAACACGTGTCGTATATCAACCACCTGTGAAACACGCCCCGTTTGTTTCCGATTTTGACCCTCATGTTTTATTCTTTCAGCGATTCGTCAGTGCACGCTTTACAATTTTTGGATGTTATCAACATGAAGGATCCCACACAGAAGGCCCATTTTTACAGGAATACCCTCAAAGAGGCGCTACCCTACATACCTAAAGTAACTAATTAGCTCATTTAAATATCATTAGAATCTTAATGAGTTGGTAGCTATGTGAGTAAAATTATTCAGAGATTGCGTAATAATTTATTTAACACCCAAACATAATATTCACCTACAGTTATCTGTTATTTATATCACTGTTTAGTTCTCTATTCATATCACCATATTTTTTTTATACATTTATCGAACGTTCCTGCATATTCCGGAAACTTCTCGTTAGTTTCTTTCGACACGAGGGTGTGCGCGTATGATTAAGGAACATCGCCCACCTGCATCAAAGATGCGGCAGGTATCGATTGTAGCCTGCGGTATTCGTTCCTAACGATGACATACGTAGCGTGCGTATGTGATTGAATACAACGCGCAATCTCTTAATAATGTTACTATGCCTAAATATTTAATAAATTTAAAATTTCATTATGAATTGACAATAATTAGACAAGGACTGCAAAATAAATTAAACATTTGTGGATTAATAGTCGATTTAAATATTGAATAGTCCAAAAAAATCCTTAAAGGATAAAGATTAACGATTTTCTTGTAGAAATTAAGGTACCAGCACGTTTGGCCGAGCTTACAACAAGAAATGAAGACTCAAGAGGTTCTTGCTGCCGTTTTACAGCCGATTTTTTATTTAATTCAAGAGTCGACAATTGAGGAATACGAGTCCACAATTCTTCCGTCCTTCAGGTAAAATTACTTTTGTTATTCCTCTTTCTGTATTTTATCTACGACAATACACAAACCCTCTATTGAGTGGTGCATAAGATTAACACATAAAAAGGGAATTTAAGATACATTAACACTAGCAAAATTGTCGTTAACAATTAAAATGGCTTCAGCGTATAAAACATCTGTTGTGTTCAAATCGTTAGGCTTTATTGTTATGTGCAATTACCTACCGCTGTTTATTACATTGTAGTTGTGTTTTGTGTAAAATTTCGAATGTCGTAAACCAAATAAGCGAATAATCAACAAAAACGTTAACCAACTATAAACGTTTTGTGACAAATTCATTCTATGTGGAAATAAAAATGAAAAACCAATGCTTACAATGATTTATTGTGTTATTTTCATATCAAGCTTGCACAAATGTAAGCTTTTATTGAATAGAATAAGCTTTTAATTCTTCTAACTCCATTTTTAATACGAAGTTGTACACACAGTTTTAGTGACAAATAATTTATTTTGATTATTATGATGATTTCAACATACTGTGACTTCTTCAAGTGGAGAAATCGAAGAATACTATTCTCACATTCAGTTATCTTCCACTTGAAACTCCTTATTTGCTTCTTGTGTTTCTAACTGCTCCTATTCGCGACTAAGAAGGTGTTCTATTTTATATAATTTTCAGAACAATTTTTATACATCAATATCGGCAAGGTTCATTTATTCTTATCCCTGTCCGCATGTGTATAAACCAAGTAAATCATGTCCCTAAGGTATAACATTGAACCTGTCGCATACCCTAGCGCACATAATGTTTAATTAAGGGTTCGGTGGTTGAGTTTGTTGCGTCGATAAATCTGGTGCATGTGCAGCTGTGTGGAGTGTACAATTTACATGCATCCATAGACTATTCGCCTGATGATAACGTAGCAGGTGATTAAAACGCGTGTAATTTTCAACCAATCGTCGACCCCATAGTTTAACGCTTACTAATCATTAAACCTCTTGTAATAAACGCTCCTATACGAAATACCTGCTAAGTTGGTTTTTTGACGTGACAACGTTTTATAATTCGATGGAGCCGGCTGCACGCACGAAAAAACATGACTCATGCGGCGTTACCTCGCTCTGAGGCATTCCATTTAAGGCTTGAAGTGCAAGCGAGAGCGCGGAACGAGCGACAAAGAGGCACATTCGGCCTCCGCGTTCGGCAGCGTTCGACATCTGTTTCTCTCCTACTTGAGTGAGCGATGCGTCCGCGTGGACAGCTGCTATACAATAATACATTTCCATTTACCTCCTTCTCTATATCCATACAAAATATCTATCAAACAAATAAAATTAAAATTTTCTTTTGAAAAATGAAACCATTCCATCAGTATTTTCTTATGACGTTGTCACGTTCAATTATCGTCAGTAAACCGACTTTACAGACAACCGATTTTTTTTTAAATATTAGAAGCTAATTTTCAAACGGAAACATGGATTTTCACCTGATTTTTCTCTTTTTGAGATATCAGAGTTATGTGTTGAAATATAAACGATTGAAGCCGGTTTTTTGCAATTATTTTTAGGGTTATAAACAGCCCTATTAATAGACCATCCAATTTTGTTAACGGGGTTTTGCACACTTCAGATAATAAATCTTAATGGCAAACTTTACAAGACAGTTTAATGTCTCTGAATTGATCTTTATCGACGGAAAGAATTGCAAATGGAAGTTGTAATGCCTTCTATTGTGTTGAATAAATGCATTTATATCACGCAACAGCGATAAATTAATTTGTATTTTTGCAGAAGGAGGTTACGCTTCAAGATCCGAGACAACTCGATCGTTATGTTTCTTTAATGCGAGATCGACAACTCCCAATAATAATTGACACAATTCTGTTTAAATTTCCCTTATTAACACCATATTATATGAACTACAGTTTAACGATTTTTTTTCTTAAAGTTTCTGAAACGTATTTTCTTTTGATTTGGTCTCTGGAATTATAGCAGAACCTTTTTGATAAAAAATAACTTTTTTTACTTTTATATCCAACTCGGTTATTAATTTTGTTTCCGGCGTTCTCACAAACTATGATAATCTTATAATCTCAAAAGACTTTATTAATTAATCCTGTATCATAAGACAGATTTGGGGTTCGACAAAAAACAAAACAGAGATAGAACGGAAAATGTCAGTAAGGTCAAAGGGCAGATGGCACAATGTGTATACAAAAAAACCGCCGTTATTATCCTGTGGGAAAAGTATTAGGGTGACCTATTTATCGCGGCTAATTTTGTCTTTGATTTTATACGAACATTTATATAAATCAGTTTTACTGCTTTATACGAATGTTAAATAATACATAACATCGTAATTAATTGCACAGGTAGATAGTTATTAATAAAGGTGTTATAAAAATTTCGAATGACTAGGTATTTATGTATCCTTCTAGGGTTATATTTGTAAATGTGTTATATTTGAGGGATTTTCTCAGGATTAGTCCTTGTATATCTATGCCTTAGTGTCTATGAATAAATGTAGCGTGATTTTCGTTGAATTTTGAACAAAAATAATTCCAGAAACCACAAAATATCGACTTTTGTACTTTTCCAATAAATTTTACGAATTGTGACCGTTTAATTTTTAATTACATACATTCATTATATTGTATGTGCATTGAAAATACAACCTCTAATTACACCAAATAGATGTTACATACGGTTTAATTTACCATAAGGATATGAAACTGAGAAAAATATCTAATTTTCTGTATGGCTCCATATGGGTATTATTTAAATGAATCTTTTTGGAACCACTGAAAAGCAATGCCGCGTTGACAACGATCCAAGAAATGCCATTTAAACACGATTCGTTAACTCGGTCGGAATTGTATAATTCTGAGATCTTGTTCTCAAACAATTATTACGAGTGAGCGCTCTTGCAAAAGGCAGAGTTCACATTTTGGGCGTTAATTTCGAAATAACGCAATCTGCTGTTCAAATTCCACTGTTGTCATCATTCGCGCTTTGTTTTTTTTTTTACCATTACATATAAATTTTAGTACTTCATATCAAATCCGATTAACCTCTGTAGTTTGCCTTCCTTTTTAATTCTATCGACGATCTGTCCATCGTATTCTGGATCCACGGTACTTCTGAAAGAAATTCAAGTAGATAAATTAAATTTAATGTGTCCGAAAGGCGAAATGAAGTAATTACATTTATGAAAAAGCCAATGTCATCATTAAAAACGACCTGAACAATACATAGAAATTATTAAGTAGTTGACTAGCCATATTTGTAAAAATATCTTATCTACCGTATTATTGACAGAACGCCGCAGGCTGCGATCGATACTGTCCGATGGTACCGTTTATAATACATATGTAACACAGAAAGAGAATCGACTGGAGCCATGTGATATAGATAATGAGAAAGTGAGATAAATAAGCGATTATTAAAGGCAATAAGTGTTTGATTCATGATTTTTATTCCATTTATTTTGTTGTTATGTACATTTATTTAGATGGTTTTATAGCGACGCTTACATATTACGTATTTTTTTTTCCGTTACAGAAACGTTTTCACTGCTCCCAAATCGATCCAGGCCACGGTTACTCTATTAGAAAATTTGCATATAATTTTAGAAAAAACTCCAAGAGATGGGATTCGAAGCGAAGTCCTACCCGTTTTATACAACGCTTTCGACAGCTCCACGATACAAGTGCAGGTTAGTACTTACTTATACGAGGGTGGATTGATAAGTTTCCGGCCTGACCAAGAAAAACAAGGTTTTTTTTTATTTCTCAACATAATCTCCCTTGCACAAATGTAAGCTTTTATTGAATAGAATAAGCTTTTAATTCTTCTAACTCCATTTTAAATACGAAGTTGTACACACAGTTTTAGTGACAAATAATTTATTTTGATTATTATGATGATTTCAACATACTGTGACTTCTTCAGGTGGAGAAATCGAAGAATACTATTCTCGCAATCAGTGTTCTTCCACTTGAAACTCCTTATTTGTTTTCTTGTGTCTCTAACTGCTCCTATTCGCGACTAAGAAGGTGTTCTATTTTATATAATTTTCAGAACAATTTTTATACATCAATATCGGCAAGGTTCATTTATTCTTATCCCTGTCCGCATGTGTATAAACCAAGTAAATCATGTCCCTAAGGTATAACATTGAACCTGTCGCATACCCTAGCGCACATAATGTTTAATTAAGGGTTCGGTGGTTGAGTTTGTTGCGTCGATAAATCTGGTGCATGTGCAGCTGTGTGGAGTGTACAATTTACATGCATCCATAGACTATTCGCCTGATGATAACGTAGCAGGTGATTAAAACGCGTGTAATTTTCAACCAATCGTCGACCCCATAGTTTAACGCTTACTAATCATTAAACCTCTTGTAATAAACGCTCCTATACGAAATACCTGCTAAGTTGGTTTTTTGACGTGACAACGTTTTATAATTCGATGGAGCCGGCTGCACGCACGAAAAAACATGACTCATGCGGCGTTACCTCGCTCTGAGGCATTCCATTTAAGGCTTGAAGTGCAAGCGAGAGCGCGGAACGAGCGACAAAGAGGCACAATCGGCCTCCGCGTTCGGCAGCGTTCGACATCTGTCTCTC